TTGCGCCGAAATTAATTCTCATTTCCAATAATTCAAAGTATTTCCAATGGTGTTTAGCACAGCGGGAAAGCCAGGGCTTGATGCTGCGAGCAAAGAATTTTACCATGCACACGTGCCGTCGGCCCGCCCCCGCTCGTGATCAGTTTGAACGTATAAGAACGGCCGAACAAAATTATTTTGGCAGATAACGGTGACCGACGCAGAAGCGCCATCTTCCTGAACATTGGCATAGGGTTAGGGTTCGGAACCCGGCGAACGATGCTGAGAGCAAAGGAAATAATGTAGATAAGATTTTATCATGTACACGTGCCGTCGGCCCGCCCGCGACCAGTTTGAAAGTATGAGTACTGCCAAAGAAAACTATCTTGGCTAGCTGTCAACGGCGACCGACGTCGAAGCGCCTTTTTCCTGTACATTAGCATAGCGGGAAACGCAGGGTGTGATTCTGCGAGCAAAGTGAATATTATAGATCGGATTTTACTATGCACATGTGTCCTTGACATACCCCTGCCTATTTTTAGGCAAATTGGGCTGGGAAAAATTATCTGGGCTGGCAAACCCGACCAGTGACGCGAGCGCTATTCCAATGTACATTAGCATAGCGTGAGGAATGTGGAGGGATACTGCGGGCAAAGTAAAATTTCTAGAGCGGATTTTACCACGCACGTCTCTCCCGGGCATACATGTGCCCATATTTACCTCGTAGATTTGGCCGAAGCAAATGATCATGATCTTGGCTGGCAACCCGACCAGAGCACGAGCGCCATTCCAGTGTACATTAGCATCGGGGAAAGTTATTGTGGAGGGATGCTGCGGGCGAAATGAAACTTCTAGAGCGGATTTTACTATTATATGCACATATATATATTTACATGCATTATATTTATATGCACATCCCGCCCGGCCATCCCCCTGCCCATTTTGAGCGTGTAAGTTTCGTCCAAAACCTATTTTGGCTGACTACCAACGCGGGCGCTATTCCAATCTACGGCGGGATGTTGCGGGTAAAGTGAAAAGTGAATTTTGTGGATCGGATTTTACCATGCATACGTGCCGCTGGCCCGCTAGCCGTGAAACTGGTCGCGGGCGGGCCGACGGCACATGTGCATGATAATATCCGATCTATAATATTCCTTTCAGCATCGCTCGCCCGGTTCCGGTTATGCTAATGTACATGAAGATGGCGTCCGTGCGTCGGTCACCGTTAATTAACTGCCAATATAATTTTCTTCGACCGTTCTTATACGTTCTAACTGGTCGCGGGCGGGCTTACGGCACGCGAGCATGATAAAATCTTATCTATATTATTTCCTGTGCTCGCAGCATCACGCTCTACGTGTTCCCCACTATGCAAATGTACATGAAAAAGGCGCACAGACGTCGGTCGCCGTTCACTGGCAAGAAAATTTTGTTCAGCCGTTCCTATACGTTCAAAGTGGAGCCGGGCGGGCCGACAGCACGTGTGCTTGGTAAAATCCTATCTATAATATTCACTTTGCTCGCAGCATCACGCCCTGGGGTCACCGCTATGCTAATGTACATAAAAAGGCGCACCGACATCGCTCGCCCGAAAATTTCAGATTTTGGCCGCAGCATCCCACTACAATTTCCACTATGCTAATGTATATTGGAATACCCACGGTTCATCCCACATCAGATAGTTCATTGACATATGATACCTATCTGCAGAATGATCATCCAATACTAGTTCACTGGAGTGTCGAAATATGTGAACTCGCGCATAAATAAACGCTTAATTTGTATAAAGAAAATAATATTAATATAGAGAATAATAAGTAGAGTAATAAAAAGTAAGTAGAGTAAGTAGGTAAGTAAGTAGTAAGTAAGTAAGTAGGAAGTAAGTAAGTAGAGAATAATAAGGATCTACGAATAAAATGTTTTCAGTAAATTTCTCTCAAACATTTCATTTATTCATATATGACGAAATCACAAAGATTTACAAGGAATATTCGCGACCACGATTCTTGACAGATTTAAATGTTTACGCTTAAATTTAACCTTCACCGCAGTGATATTCATACAAACAAACGCAACGAATAAAACATATATATATATATATATAGGTTTGCCTAACGATAGTGATAAGGCTACACAAAACAGCACACGTGTACTACGTTTGTTACAAAGTGATAAGCCGTTTTGGTTTACACAATGAATACGATCTCCGATGCTATTGGTAGGAGTACATTTCCGTTTGGCATTCAGGATAGTAAGTTTCTCCATTAGTTTCCTATGAATACCTTACCAAACAATTACTGAAACATAATAAAATTGTTAGGTGCCAAAGTATAAATTTTCCACACAATAATAATTACATATGTATGCCTAAACTAAATTTACAATTGCTTCAATCTATTCAATACCTTTAAAAGCACCATGCAACTTGCATTACAATTTAATAGGGCAATTTTCGCTTCACTATACAGATTTTTGCAGCAATAATTACATTACATATTAGGTGCTATATTATATACTTATGTGCATTCGTGCATCATGTGGAGTATGTATAAGTCTATATCACGTATTCGTGTATTATATACTATATAATATATATTATATACATATACACTTTCATGAAAATCATACAACAGCCTCAAGCCATAAACCGCAGCAGCAGTGTATCTATGCACGTACGTTAGGCATCTTAGTTATGTTAAATACCAATAGTTGTACGAGCGACTATATATATATATATATATATATATATATATATATAATTATGTTTTCTCATTCTTCAAATACAACTATTATTTGCTACGATATGCACTACGATATATACTAAAAATTACGTTTCATGTAGCCATGCGTAGGTTTAATATTTCCATGATAAACAGTGATTTAAAGGTGAACATACTTTAGAATTTAACACTGTAATATGGTTTAGCGCCTCGAGCAATGGTAATGGAGATCACCAACGTTGATATGCATCCCACACACTCCAATTTCACATTCCACTACACGAACAAATGCCACTAATAATTTATCATAAAAAAAAACTTGTGCAAATTAGATTTGGATTCCCTCCGTATAGGTTACGGTTGTGTAAGGCACAACTCAAACTACCCTTTTTAACATTATCGCTAATAAATTATTCATATCGCATTATCGCATTATTACAATTCATATTTTGCCCATACTTTGCCTGAAAATGGGGATGAATGTTCCACTATAATTACAAATATCCACGCACGCAAATTCCTTTTTCTAGATACATCTTTATATTATGCACAAGCAAGATCAATTACCTGGTTACATTCATATCTAAAGCGTTCATTTCAATTTTAACAATATACATATTTATATTTAAGCCTAATTTCACAGTACTACCTGGTTACATGTTTAGGTTCTAGAAACAGTATCCAATTACTCTGTGCCATTTCAATGTCATTTAGTAACTTACCATTAAATGGAAATCTACCTACATTTTACAAGAGCTAACTGTATACCAAGTACTTATAGGAGGACATGATAGTTTACGATATTGCACAATACTATATATATATATTCATAATACTCACTAATATATTTTTAACGTTGCACGGCAAACTGTTCTAATGGAACAAAGCATTACACGCCAGTTACACTAACAATTGCACTTTTTAGAATAATTAAATAAAAAGTAAAGGACCCATTATTTTGCAGCTAGATCATATGAATGTGTTAGAGCTCTAGGAAAGGGCCATTTATGGAATGCTATGATATAGTCTGGGCCACATGAATCTGCGTAAAGTCTATAATTTCTCGAAAAGCAGAATGCAACAGTTTCAACTGGAGAAGTGCATTATTGTGTAAATGAACGATGCTTACGTCCTAACCAAGTAAGGGTATACAAGGCCCACAAAACACAAATGGTACCTTGATGATTCACAAGTATATTCGTGCCTAACTTTTGCCAATTCGCTGATGGTGGTAATGCATAACGTGACAACCATTTGTAACGTCGTAAAATCTATTACTACCCAATGTGCTAGTTCTAAGTAGTGATGACGACCCAACTCCTTAACAACATAGGTAAGCTGCTAAAGCCTCTACATAACAATGGAAGATGTATGGTTTTATAAATGGTGACAAAACCTAAAACAGCCAAAAATATTACCCTTTCAGACTAAAGTGCTCAGATCGCGAAAACAAACAATTGTGAGGTTTGTGCCTCGGGGGGGAAAAAGGCGGTGTCCACCGATTCCCAGAATAGGATCCGGCTGCTTCTGCTTCTAGCATACAATGAGTACCTACAGGGTTACGCGTACCATCAACAGCTGCCTGTCAATCAAGTTGAGCCGTCCCCCACAGTGCCATGTTGCGCTGCTCTCAAACTGCTGTAGCACGGCTGACATACTCTCACCGGCTTCATGATCCTCAGCCGACTGATCTCAGACTCAAATCTACTACACCTGTAAAGATATGTGGGCTAGTAAATATACGAACACCCCGATAACACAACCGTGTAAGGGCAAGGGATGAACAGAATGCTAATCCATCAAGCTTTGTCAGACATAATACACGTGACTGACATAATAAAGATTGACCTGTAGGCATAACAGTTAAACTTTTACAATTAAACCAAGCAATAGTATGCCTACATATTTCTATACTCAGAAATAGACTTTTCTTTACAAACATAGAAAACAAATATCCTGACCAGTGTCAAGACACCCTACAACTGAGCCCCACTGACGAAGTTGCCCTTTTTCATTTGTATTCTGGAAGTTTTTGACCAGAAATAATCACAAAGATGATTTCAGTTTTATCTAACTATAATTTGACTGGATGATTTTGTCTAAAATAAATATAAGCATAATATAACTAAAACTTATAGTGAAATAAACGAGAAAATAAACGACATATAGTGAAATTGTAATCTGTCTTCTCTTAAATTAGTATATAATTAAATCTAAAAGCTGTATTGGCACAGTATTGGTGGAGCAGCACAAATGCCAGTGGTAGTGTAAGCAAATGATCGAGCTTTTACAACATTTTTGAGAATATTTCTAGTGAACACCGAACTGCAAAATTTTATGTGTCACATAAATTCGACCAGATTTAACTAGAAATAGGCATTTAACCTACAGCAATGTTCCACCATATAATTAAATGCTAACACACACCTGGAGCAGAAAAGCTGACCACAGTTGCGGCAGTGATGTCGTCGCTCAGAGAAGGAAAACTTGGTGCCACAGCCAATGCAGCCATCAACACCCTCATCCTTCACCCAGTGGTCAGCCATGACACGACCTGGCTGATCTGTCACTGACCAGCTGTAGACTCTGCCTCGTGTATCACCAACGTAAACAGTTTTGTGGTCTCTGAAATAATCGTAATAAACAATAGACACTCAAGAACACTCAAATACCTCTTTTAAAAACATAGGATACATGTGTAAGCTATACTTTATGTGGACCTGATGTTTGCAATAGATGGAACGTAATCAGCAGAGCTCACGGTAATATTCTAGCAAAGTGGATGAAGGAAATTCAGGATTAAGTGTTGATATACTGTACTATTCTATTAAACTTCTGGTGAAGCCATGTTCCTGTATAATACAGGAACATACATTCACCAGCAGTAGTACTCAGTAACTCTACAATCTACAGTGCTCCTGCATTATCACAGTCGAAAAAGGCACAGGCAGTGAAGCTTATTTAATATAATATGATTTGATTTTGTAATTACAAATTAACACATATTCTAAAAGATTTCACATTTTGTAGCTGCAATTAGATACTGTAGCAAAGTAACTAATTTAAACACGTAGTTCTCAAACAATAGGAAATGCATGAAGCTTTTAAGCTATCCGTGGTAAAAAAAGACTATCCATGGTGATATTTTTCTGACATTGCTACATAGTAGGTAAACAGCTCAAGATGCGCACCTGGACACAGCAATAGCAGTGATGGCGGCAGGTTCTGTATTGTCCTTTCTATCAAAGGCCGTATGCATGGTTAGCTTACTGCGGAACACCAGCTGTCGCTGCCACATGAAACCTGAAACATGTTTGCGGCACATTACCTACACCAGTACACTGCAATATTTGGTAATCATTGGCCCGTACACGAAGTGTCAGATCATGTAGCGCTGTAAATTTGTGGATCACCTCATACCAAGATGAAGCCAGCTTGATAAAGCAGAAAACAGTCGTCTATTTTAGAAGCTCATAGTCGTATTTTTAACGATTAGATTTGTAACGCTTTTGATGGTCACTAACAGAAGATGCTCGTCAGTTACTCAATTCTGACACTTTCAACAGATTAACGGCCTAGTTGGTCCAACACAATTTAACTTACTATTGTGGCCAGAACAATTAGCACTAAAAATATGAACTGTGTTACTATTATTACAACTTGCTTCCAAATACCTTCTCTTAATGTGTTACGATTCCGTGACGTGGCTCTGCTTAAAATGGAAGGATCCGTCTTTCCTAGCTTCGGTCTATCAAGCCCACCCTTGGCTTTATCATCACTACCAGTTGAGACACTCTTGTGCATAGTTAGAGATTTTTCACCCAGTTTGCTCTCAGTCACACAGGGAACCACCGCCACCGTACTGTCAATCGCCGTTGAGCATGCACTCCCCATTGTCAGCCCAACAGGAGCACCATCTACAATTGTCTGCACAACTGGTCTCATCAACGCTTCCACGTTGTTGGTGGTCGAAGCTTGAGGCCTCATCACCGAGCCTTCCTCACTGACACGTTGTCCGCGATCACCTGCATCCTGTGTGATGTCAACAGAGTCTGCCTGCTGACCAATATCTATGTCATGGCTGGTCGTATGTGCAGTGCAGATATCCTTATCTGAACACAGGCTGTCCGCCGACACTGACGTCCTTAGTCGAGTGCCACTTGAAAGACTAATAGCTGGCTCCCTTTCCGAATCCTCATCCGCAGTAATCGAAGCGTCTGACGTCAGTGTGTTCTGGGAGGCAGACCTGTGTCTGCTGTTCTCGTCTGGGACCTGTACAAACTCTACCATCCACATGCGCACCACGCCATCACTAGACCCAGTCATTATGACATTCTCCGGATCCCACTCCATCACCTGAAAGATCCAAAAAGAATAATGGCATACCTACACAGACAGTACTGCATATACGTAAATATATGATTGTATCAACAGCAGACTACACGAGATGTCACGTACACATGAGGAACTTGCTTCATTTTCTTTGCATATCCGGATGCCGATATGCAGACAGATCTTAGCAGTAACAGGCAGCCGATACCACAATGTGTTTAAACATATAATACATTATTTTACTGTCAATGATAAATGCATAATTACTTGCGACATAGCCACACAGAGTATCTGCTGATTTCGCCCTGTTGCTGTATTGACATCAGCGATTTTCTGCCCATTAATATTCCAGAGGTTGAGGTGGGGTCCAGCACATGTAGCAATGTCTCCCTGGAATAATGTAACCATTAAAATTTAAACTTACTGTATTTTTTATTTTTACACGATACACAACCTTTATAAGTTGTTTACAACATCTATTATTATTACAGAAAATAGAATGTGTATGTGACAAAAATTATGCCTAAAGTGTGTAAATGCTGCAAAAAATTGACTGTATAGTGGTGTCCCTTTATTTCTAACATGACGTTAAGAGTAAATAAATAAAACTAAATGTTTGTAATTATTTACTCCTGATAACAGAAATGAAACATGTAACAAGTGCTGCCACAACGAATACAATGGAGAGACGGCCAAGGACACTCGCAGCTCTGGCCCATGCAGGCCTCTCCATAAATCTTACCGTTAGTTCATTAATGCTGACACAGGCTACAGGAGCCCCATGATCACACAGCTGCCGAATGAACAGCAGGCGGTTCATGTCCCACATGATGCAGGTTTGATCACGTGAACCGCTTACAATCACATTGTACGCGAGCGACGCTGCCACACACGTTACTGCTTCCGTGTGTCCGTACAACGACCTCTTCAGCATCAGCTGCTTTTTCCCCTGAGCTTTGGCGACCTCCCACACTCGTACGACCTGCACAACACAGTCCATAATTACACCAGGAAAACCATAGAATATGGAAATACAGGAATATGATTTATATGCTCTATTCTGCATGTTGAGGTTTCAATGACTTACCGAACTTGTGTGCCCAGTGATAACCAGCCTCGAATTAGGACATGCTGCACAAAGCACTTCCCCAGTGTAGTATAATTCATAGGCATGGCTTGCCTATAAAGCAAGGAGCAGTTTCAAGAATTATATTCATTGTATATATATAGCTGTATAGTATAAGGCTATTAAATATTAATAAAATAGACCACATGGGCTTGGAATGACTATTGCCAGATTGTAATCCCTCTATTGACAACAGTGAGGTAGTAATCCTCAATGTCCTATTTCTGAATTTCCAAAAGCAGCAGCACACGTTTTCCAGGTGCAACAATTTTGTAATGAATTAATGCCAATAAATCTGAATGACAGACAATTTTTCACTATGTCTAATCCCCAAGTTTCAAGCTAACAAAGACTTTTTTATATATAATTAATACCTTTCTCCTTCAAAACCATGCACATTCAACTTCAAATCAGACTGCATGCACGCTCGCAGATATGAAGATTACCCTCCTTTCATTGATGATCTAATTATATTGACGGCTCAATTTTATGTGTTATGCTAAAAACTGTGAGTTTTGGCTATTCATGGATTTAGGACGAAGTTGCACAGAAACGGATGTAATTTGGGTATCTTCCTGAAACTTCACTTCTACATCCTGTACATACTAGTGCCTCACATGGTGCACTGCAGGGTACCCGGCATCATAGACACATATATTCCCTTTCTTACTCTCATAATGTCACTGGCATACATCCTTGTCACTACCATATACTGAAAACATTTACTCCAATCAACTCTTACCTTATCGCTGCCATAGACCCCCTCACGAATGCTCATGTCTGCATACCCCCATGCGATGTAGTGATTGTATACAGGAGGAATGAGTGCCTTGTTTTGCTCAACTGCCAGTACGGTTTTGTCACTGTGTACGATGTGTCCTACTGCACCTCTCAGCTCTAAAATATGTTAAAAATCACACTGAAATTATTTCCAGTTGTAAATGACGCTTGTGAGTACAAAGTAATTTCCAAGTACAGTAAAACTCACATAAGTCAACACGTTTGGGACCAGCATATTTGTGCCGACTTAAGAAAATGACGACATACGTGCAAGCAGTCATTTTGTCGACTTATATGTAGGGCTCCCCTCCCAGGCGCCTGTCACCCCTACGCAGTCATAAACATGCTCCACACACAACTTCAGTTCGCGCCACATACATAGCAGACATGAAACAATCGGGTCCGTACATCAATCGACACCGCTGCTGGCCATAACGCATGTACATCGTACGCACTAGCGGCAAGCGCGGCACACGCTGGCTATCTGTAACACCCGCTGTTGATTACACGTTTGGACATTGCAGGATATTTGCGGTGCTCGTCTGCCAAATTTTCTTGGAACACTTGCTGAAAAAATACGGTAATTCCGCGAGACCGTGCTCTGGAACGAACTAGTTAGTATAGCAGAATATATACGGCTCTGTTCTGATGACGACTTACAGATGGGAAATTACTGTTGTTTGTATTACATGGGACCTGTCTGAGGGTGACTACTTGCACATGACGGCTTATAAATGACGACTTAAGCAGGGCTATTCCAATGGATTAACTATGAGAGAAAATCGGGACTTTGACTTCCATGACGACTTATGCGAATTGACGAGTTAGACGATGACGACTTATGCGAGTTTTACTGTATAAACAACCAATAGCAAGTAAATTGTTACACTAGCAAACATCCCTATACCGAAACGATTGCTACCCAATTACAATTGCTCCACACTACCTACATTACCTTTCACTGGTTGCATAGAAGGCTTAAGAATGTCTAGGTTGTGGAAGAAGAGTCTATCTGATGACACAGTGACAGCAGGTGACACATCCATTGCCCGGTCAGGAAATGAACGACTGACCTTTTTTGCAGGATGAGGTTTCCTAAAAAGCTGTAAAACAACAACGTTTTCATATTTCATAGCACGAATAGCCAAAAAGTTCAGGGATATAAAGGGAAAAAGGTTCAAACTGAAGACATCCGCGTTACTACTAAGTACATGCTTAGCTGTTCAGGTTTGCCTAAAATACTCTCACACCTGCTTTGGTATCTGACCGAAGTTGTTGATGAAGCCAATAATGGCACTTTTCTGCAGTGGATCGGTTATATTGTAGACGTCCACAGCTCCCTCATAGAACAGGTGGTGAAACACGTTACTGGCTTCCATTGCTGCTGACCCTTGCTGTTTGTAGCCAAAGATCAGGTCTATCCACTCATGCAGGTGAGCACTGACATAGTCACACTCCAATGCCTACCAGAGCAAAGCACATATCACTATACAACAGGAAAAAAAATTTAATTTATTTTTCTGGGGCTACTTTTCAAGCTCGCGTGGATGAAAATAGCATTCTAAAATTTGGTTTGCATTGAACTCTATGCAAATTTCCGGGGGCTCTTTTTGGCATTTCCGGGGCTCTTTTTGGCATTTCGGGGGCTAAATCGCCCTGAGCCCCCGTGTATTTTTTTCACTGCTATACAAGCTGATTACAATTGTGTTTTCACTTTAACTGATCAATTCACTAAATAAATGTGTTTGATAAACAGATATAATTGTTCATTTGTAAATTGTAAATTTATTGCATGTATTCCTACTCCAGAGAAAACATAACTTTAACTTCCAAGATTCACGGGCTTTTCTCTATTTCTTGAAATTTTATAATCATACGAATAGATATCATATATATAAAATATTTCCCTTCTAACAATTTACTAGGGTAAAACACAATTTTCAAAGTAGTCTTTGCACACATAAGAAAACAACAACGTACATTTCCTTTTAATGACCCTTACAATATGGTATACATAGGTACATGGGAAGGGCAGGCAGGCAAATCAAAAGGGCAGCCGTGGTGGTTTATTGCAGTGGACACCAACAACTTTTTCTTGGGTACCAACTACCAAGCAAGTAACACTAAGGAGGACAACCAGAGCAATTGCAATCGATGCAAGGTTGAAATTCAAGCCCTACGTTTTAATCAATCATAAAAGTGGGGAAAACGAGCTGGAACTCTTACCTGACGATGGACTCGTATGAACTCTGACGAATCATTCTTGGCCCATTTCGGCAACACAACATCGCTGAGCACCACTCCACTCTGCTTCACACCCAGGTCAAAGTTATTCGAATTCGTCAGGAAATCGGGCAGGTAGAAAAACTCCGGTATGAGCTCCTTGACGTCGGCCATGTTGTGCTTGCTTGACGATAGCCACGCCTCCTTCACGCTGTGGTACATGCGGTCGGCAAGGTCAAAGTGTCCGCCCTGCAGTCGCAGGAAGTGCTGCGTGAACGGCTCCATGCGCACGAGGTATGACGCGATGATCATCGCCGACGAGTAGTGCGTGCCGTAGTGATACGGCGGCGTCTCGCTGTGCGGGTCGTCCCACTCCACAAAGCGCTTCTTGAACTGCTGCAGGCGCTCGGGGCTCTGCGCTCCCATCGGCTTCGAGAGGTCGCGAAACGTGGCCGGGCTGTTCAGGTCGAGCTCCTCGGAGTCGTAGTCGGCGAGAATCCACGGGAACACCGGGTACTGCATGAGGTCGTTGTAGGAGCGGCCGGCGAGCGTGTTCACGTGCATGAGGTACTGAAAGTTGCTGATCTCTCCGCGCTCCCACCGCTGCGTCACCGACTTCTCGCCGATGAGGGAGCTCAGCAGTCCGGTGCCAGGCTCGACGGTCGCGTTGCGCTTCTGCCCCGACACCGACTGGTGCGCGCTGTCTGTGATGCTGGTGGCGACGGACATAAAGCGCTCGTACACCTTATTGCGCACCTTACGAGGAAAGACGAGCAGCTGGTTGCGACCGTCTACAGAGAAAACCTCGAGCGCAGTGGGCTGCAGCAAGTACCTGTAACATTACAGACACATATATCAGTCCACGCCATAGCAAGTATCTGTGACATCACAGACACATATAACAGTTCACGCTGCAGCAAGTACCTGTAACATCACAGACACATATAACAGTCCACGCTGCAGCAAGTACCTGTAACATCACAGACATATATAACAGTCCACGCTGCAGTAAGTCCATGAAACCATAAATGAACAGCGAACGCGCGCTTGCTATCTTAGGAATAGAATTTTCAAAGGCTCCCACAAAACAAGTGCACGTAGTTATGGGACGCAAATATTTATAGACATGGTACCGATCAATAGCATTTCGTGAGAGTGAAAATCTCGCTCTAGTTTTGTTGACATATGTAAACTAATCTAATTTAAAACGCAGATCAGTGCACATATTGGTTAAAAGAATGATGTGTGAGTGTTCTATGACATGTTAGCCTTACTACACACATTTGGTGTATAATCAAATAGGAAAGGGGTAAAAAAACACTAAATACTTGCTTTAATCTCTACCATTTACATTGTTTGATTTACGCACAACTGATTTACTATCTTGTAAATCAAGAGCTACCCATATTTACATAATCATAGCTAGTACATCCTCACCTTCTCTTGCAAACTTCACGAATATCCTCATAGGTGAATTTGCTGTGACTTTTACTAGAGCTTGGACAGTGTGCCTTCATTGGTATTATCGGGTCATGCAATTCAGCTGGTATGCAGTCTATCTCCCTGTGCCAACATGATAAGAGGTAGGGCTAACATGGATTCGGTAGTTTCCGAGTTATTCACAAATTATTTGCTGCACAAATAGGTCACAAACAGGTCACCTGGAATAGCGGAGTAGTAAGGACGACTTTCAATGGTTATATATAAGGCTCTATATAACATCACATTTATTTGGAAAGAATTTTAAACAGGAAATTAGTTACAAAGGACTATCTATTTAATGTTCCAAATAAAAGATAAAACTAATAACAGAAGTCATGAATAAACTTACCTAATCTCATGGCTTCGGAGAAGAGTGAAGCCATCCACTATATACCAGTGCCCTTGGCCAAATAGTAGAAGTCCCTCATATGTGTCTAGGCCTTCTATACGTGCACAGCGGAACATGTGTCTAATCTGAAAGCAAAACATATGAAAAGAACAAAATTATAAACATGATCACTTTACCAACAATAGCTGCAGATCTATTGCCACAATAAAATTGATAGCTTTTCTACTTATAATATAAAATTATAGCGAACACTAACATATCAGGCATTTAAACTAATATTACAATCAGCATATACTTATTACCTTGAACATATTATCTATACCTTCTACCAGTATAGATATGTTGATGATATCACTTAATGGACATGGCAACCTATACAATGCACATATGTCTGAACAATGCCCTACATAATTATAGAGTAATGCTCCACGTTACGCCACCACCACGCTGCACCAACCTTCTCTCCCTCATCCAGCAATCGTAGCAGAGTCTGGTTGTCTGGATTGTTACTCTGCTGTCCGTGCTGTTCTTCCTGGGAGACCTCGGTGGTGTGTGAGCCATTACTGCTGTCTGCTGGTCCAGACTCTGGCGACAGTAGGTGTACTTCACTACTGGCGTCGGTCGCTGCATCGATGTCATCATCCTCGTTGTCAGCTCTCTTCGGTGTTTGAGACGATGTCAACAATCTGGCTGTTTTCTGGCCTATAAAATATGTGATTAATATTTTAATTATACATACAGCACATTATACAGACTTCAATCTCACAATGTCTGCATGTGATACAGGTTTCAATGATGATTGTTCAGTAAGAGCTGAGCTTTCTTAGGCAGGTTCCTAAATCTTAGGCAAAGCATTTTTCCATGCACTCGAAATTTAAGCCAAATACAATCTTTCTATCTCGTATCTTCCAATCAACAACTACAGAACTACTGAACAAACTCTTGTCTCAAGCAAGTCTGAATAGCTTTCAGCCAGTGAACAAGGCTATACCTTCATTATGTCACGCTTGATATTTACATTATTAAAATGTGGGCACAACAGATATGTGGTCAATTTCCATGACATTCAGGACCAAACATAATAACTTTTCCGGTACTTTCCAAGCCTGGAAAATGTCATTATAAATATTTAGGACATTTTAGATGTTCAGTGACCCACAAGAAACCTGCATAATGGTGAAGGACTGTACATCAATGTGTACATATGCCATCGACAGATAGGGTGTCATATTATTAGCTTGATGACAGAAATGTTGTGCATGGAGAGTGGTTAGAACAACTGATCTTTAGGACATGGATGATCCATGACACATTGTATGTAGTTGTGTGCAAACATAACTTTAAATTTGTCATAATGAAAGCCAAGATCGTGTTATTCATTTCACAAAGTTTTTAATCATGAACATGCTGCAATAATTGTCATTACAATAATTTGATAAATGTAGATAAACAGCATGAATTGCAGATGTAAGAGCCATTGGTTTTTATTATAAACTCATACATAATTGTAAAAACACCTGCTTTACTGGAAGTAACATAGTAAAGGTATTTAAGCTAATAAGGACAGACAATAATAGTTGAAAATTTGTCGCATACCTATCTCCTCGAACTTCTCCATTTCCAGACATGCGCTTGAGCTGTCGGTGCTCTGAACTGGAAAAACACTCTGCTCCTCACGCTCAAACATCATCTGTTTGTAGCATCTCTCAGCGTACAGTCGACTGTCATAACTTACTGGATGCTTGTATTTTCGTGTGCTTGCCGGCTACAGTAGCAATAACACGTAAAAATATTACTGGATACTATAGAAGGTTATGAGCTTTCATTGTAATAAACAGCACTGACCATTAATAACTGGATTCTACTTTCAAACAACATGAGTAAGGAAACCATTTTACTAGTGTAGCTTTTCATAGCAGGTTCACAATTTTGGAGTAGATGCGTGCATGCGCAAGTGTGCATCTGAATCTGTGCCTGTATTTCTACATTGCTACTAAATACTATACTAATACTTACCACATCTACTGCATCATGATCATGTCTGTGTGGGTACAGGAGGAAGAACTTATCATTTGCCATCAATTTCTTACGCATGCGGCATGGCCCTACAATGCAAGACCATGTGATGAACTTGGTTATCACGTATCTGCTATTGTTAGAAGTACTTGGAAATTTTTATACTAAAAAATTTAATGCCAGTTGGATAAAACATGCCAACTGGCCAATGACTATATCAGTAGTGCCCCTCAAAAGTAACACATGAATCATGACTCAATATCTAGACCACCAATCCATTTTAAATAGGCTGTCATTAGGAGTATAATGATGCACTGAACTCTCGATCAATTACAATAGTGTTTGGCTCGATAGCAATTCATCGATGGCAAAATAAAACATCGATAACTATTGCCAATAGTTCATTGAAAAATCTATAATTTTCAATATTTTCAACATTAAAATTAAAGGTATGTTTGTGCACATATATATGCATGAAAACTATTACCAACACTTGTGTCATTGCTGTATATAATTAGACTGGACCCAATCATCTATGCATGGTAGACTCAACTAGCTCACCGACATTTATGATTATATGAGTGGATCGACAAGGTACCAGTCTTGTCAGCAAAGTGAACCAAAACGGACGTACGTGCGTACAAACGAACATACAAGTGCTATAACAACACAAAACAGAAGAATTTTACAATACATAAATAGTACTACAATTGTGAAATTGCACCCAATAGTTATCCCTAGCTGTAAGGGTCTCTAGCATCTATCCAATTCTAAATCAATGAGTATTATTTGATGGTAAAACTCAATGAGTTGTCCCAGCTCCATGACTGGAATTCAGAATGCAGCCAAAAAAGTTCAAAATGTATTCGTCTATATATTATGTTCCCCTGAATCACACATCATTAATCTATATACTGCAAAACCCACCTTCGGTTATGTCCAACATCCACTTGTCCAGGACACTGCCTATAGGTGGGCCCCACAAGCCACGCTCCCTGGTCAGATCTGTCTCCATCTGAGTCCACTCATCTAGAACATACTGCTGCATGTGCTCTTGGCTTTGCTGGTACTGCTTGTGCCTCATATCCACCAAGTCACGAACAATAGACACGTGTGTATACGTACACATGTTATAGTCCTGTAATGATGACAGAGGGCTTGAATGTATTAACACAATATATAACTGCTGGATGCACATTAATAGCATATGCATATTTCAGATGGTATTGTCTAACTGACTGCATTTTAAGTGCAGAATATGGGTACTATAGTTCTACAAAGTTACACATGTCTTGATAGACGGATTGACACCCAAATGGGTTCTAGTACAATTATGAAAGCGCTGTCACCAGATGAGCACAGCACAGAAAATACCAATTTTCTATACTGAAGTAAAAGCAAGGTTCATTAGAATATTACACTAGCAGTATTCTGCAAGATCAGCATCATGCCATGGCACTACAGACTTCTAATTTCTCACAACCACCTCCTACACCAAGTAAAGTAAATGTGCACCTGCAAGGATGTATTGAAGATGCGGATGGGAAAATCTCTGCGCTGCCTTCCACGTACCAGACGAGTCATTCCGCTTCCCATTCTCACTAGTTTCTGTAACATTTGTAATGACAAGCAACTAGAAATACTTGCACAATTTGCTACATACTTCACTTCGATACAGCCTTGTTAATGTGCTGTAGGCCACCAATGTATTTTGCAGGGTTGAGCAATTATACTATTTGGCAAATAATTTTGGCACTTGCATAGACCATAGAATTTCACAATAATATGCTGATAAAATTGATAAAAGAGACATTTCATAATAAATAAACCATTTGATTTTTGTCTGGACGTCACATGTGATGACCACATACTGAATACCAAATTTGTAATATAAAACAGAAATTTACCCAAAACTTGAATATTAACAATATTATTATTTGATATTCATTTTGAATGTAATAGACAGTGTATTATTTTGATCTGTTTCAAATAGTGTATCTGAAATGCACTGCAATTTACCATCCACAATGAGCCATGGTTTAATTTGCTACCAAAACTATATTTGGTTTATTATCCCTTACCACATGCATGTCAACTTGTAGACTCAGCAAACATCTAATAATATCAGAATGTAGGTTATAGAGAGGAGTATTACTCACTATAGAAACATGAAAAATTGCCAGATGACCAACAGTTTACCTATGATTTATTGCATAAAAATTATATCAAAAGTAGCATTGTTCATCGACCTTGCACATGCATTGTAACTATACATCTTCCTATTACGGAGATATTGCTTCGAACATGGTTTCAGATTGCTCGCAGACAGACAAAACCAAAACAAAGCCAACATAACTTATTCAATCTAATTTAATTTAGTTTACTTATTGGTTAGAAAGCTTAGACAATATTCAATACCCTTGAATTTGGACAGGAACCTTACACTCCCCAAAGGACTACACTTAACGTTATGGTTGCATGCAGTGCTTCTTATAAACAGGTACTGATAGTACTCACGCTGCTCATGGACTGTAGCTGTGAGGTAAGCTGAATCGGTTCACCAATCAGAGCCTTCCTCTCATTTTCCACATAGAAGAGCCATAGTTTGTTAGCTGCGTCACTGACCAGGGGTTGAATAGACATGAGGTCTGGGGCTGACTGACCTCTGATGCTGCCTGCTTCCATGTTCAATGATACTTTAAACACATCTTCAATCACCTACAATGTTTCACACAGCATGGTTAATGTAAGCAGAGAAAATGAATTTGCAACTAAACAATTATTTAGGTTTAGTGGTGTACCAAGCATTGCCTCTGTTATTTGTTAGACCATAAATCACCCTATAGCAACATACTAACTATGGATGGCAATTGTGTAATGAGGGCAGTAGTTTGGAAGGAGATGAGCAAGGTCTGAGCTCAACTCATAACTGGCACAAATTAACAGAGTTGGGTGCAGATTACCTAGCATTTTTATGTTCGATTATTTTCAATGAAGCTTGGATTACACGTTAGTAAATTTTTTACACTCATTAATACTGTGCCATCTGTGTTTAGATTCCCTAGTTATCAATAGATGTGCCAAATATTTCCCAGCATTTGCTTAGCAACTGACATTCGGTTAATGGGTTCGTCAGTCATTCTTGTCATGTTGATATAAACTCAGATATATTAAATGTACGTTTTCAGCATAAAATTATGACAGGAAGCCATGCACTACACATGCTAAGTATGATTGAAGAAGTTTTATTTATTTATGTACGATGTATGCACGAGTAGATAAATCCTACTGAAATCTCACATCTCACCGGTTTTTTGCATGCATATAGGCCTTCCCAGACACGCCTGGCTGCGGTCACTAGCAGGGCATGTCCGTCAGATGGGTCAGGTGTCTTGGCTGGGACTGACTGAAAGACCTCTGCAGTGATCTCCATGGGGTCAACATGCCACGTTGTCTGTCTACTTGAGCAGCTAGTGCAAACAAAATGGGGTCGCCATGAAACCTCTACAACATTATTACTTTTATTCACAGATATATCTACTCGAGTATACAGGACTCATACATTCATTTATGTTTAAAATATAATTCTATAACTAAACTCCTGTAAAATGTATGATATATGTGGCAGTATAAAAAATAATGTATAAATGTAATAAATAAATAATAAATGTATTTGCATTTTACCATGACTCAACTATTATCCACTTTTCGTGATTATTAACCATGATCATTCCACCCTATCCCTTTAGGAAAAATGATCACCCCCCTTCAAAGCTATTGGCCCAATAACAACAAAAAAGGATCCCATACACTATGGCAAGCTCAATATTCATAGCGTTTCCCATACCTAGATATTTGCTCCTCCTCGCAAATCTGAATGAGGCAGTAAACAAGGCAGCCGATGAACTCAGACTCGTAGTTGCCTGGACCAAAGATGAGGGTACGATTGCTGGTAAGCTTGTGGAGTGCTTCCAATAGATTCATTTGCTCTAAAGAATGGCAAGTTTCAACTTAGAAGTCGTAACCAAATGCAGTGAATAACAACAACATGGATTTACATATGCTGTTGTTATAACAGTTTTGTAACAGAAACTTTCAGTTTTCATTCTATCATGCTATTAACACATAATACAAGCATCACAGCAATATGCAACACTATAATATTCAAATGCTTACCTGTTACAGTCGAGGAAGGTCGAGATAACTGATAGAGAATAACTCTATTAAGGCAGTGGTAAATCCCATCCATTGCAATGCCACTCAGAGAGCGCCGCTTTGCTTGGGTGATAAGTTTTAGGATGAAGTCAAATACCTCTGCTGGATCTCTATGGAAGACTCCTGAAAATCATCGAAATGAATGCTTTTCTACCCATACTAATCCCTAATAATTATGCATTACAATAACATTTCTGGGAAATATCACGTTGCTGAGTGTAACTAGAACAAGTCCCACTTTAGTACTCAAATATAAAATACACACCTATGCAATAATCAGTGCACATATTTAACCAGAGAAATGCACACCTACATAAAATACTACTTAATCAAACAGTGTTTATCTGTATTACTATTAGAGCTCCCTTGATTATTAGTCATTACAGTGTTACTGGTATTAAACGAGCATTATAGATTGTTCTTTATCAGGGAGATACCTATGAAAGGGTTCCCAAAGCAAGCTCAAACGCATGCACACGCACGCACACATGCACGCAATCACGCCCGCACGCACGCGCGCGCGCACACACACACACACACACACACACACCACACACACACACACACACACACCACACACACACACACACACACACACACAACCCACACGCACACCGCACACGCACACGCACACGCACACGCACACGCACACGCACACGCACACGCACACGCACACGCACACGCACACGCACACGCACACGCACACGACACGCACACGCACACGCACACGCACACGCACACACACACACACACACACACACCTGCACACATGCACATACACAGCACAATATGTTGGTGACTCACCTTGCCACAACTTGTCCACAACCCTGGTAGCAAAGTAGAACACGTTGCTGGCCAGGTGTGTGTGGCTTCCTCCTTGTGCTATGGGCAGAGCAGCTTGCTCGCCCAGCAGCGCATCAGCTGCTAGCAGGTGATCCATCAGGATGCTGAGCAACGCAGTCTGGAACTCTCGCTGCTGACTGCGAGTCGATAACTCTGGAGCTGCCTAGTCTCCATCAAAACGAAAAAACGACAATGCGTCAGAAATGATATGAATATTCTCGTGTATAAAAATGCCGTGTGCATGAATCTCGTTGAGTTCTGCTCTCACTCTTTATGAGCCACACCATTTTTTAAGTGCAAAAAGAACAATGCTGGTGATACGCATGTGCGTGCTACAATAGTGTTACGGTCAGGACACACTGCAACAACAACAACCAGCAACCAACCTAACGCTTAACATCTGAGAAAATTAGAAACTATTGTTTCTAATGAGCTGTTGCACATGCACACGATAACGTCCACCAATAACCGTAACGAAAAAAGTATTTAGAATTGTTTCTAATTTCCAGCAGTGTTCTGGCCTTATTTACACTGTATAAAACGATTAGTGCTGTATACTTTGAAATTAGCAATTGTGGTATAGAATCAGCGTATGGTATAGAGATCAGCAAATAGACGGTAAGAAGATTCCACACCTCTAGCAGGTAATCCAACACAGGTGTGCCCTTCACAGCAGGTGGGAGGCTCAGGCTGTCTATTACAATCACTCTCATTAGGTCGATCACAAACTTTCTGGCAGGATGCGCTGTGAGATTGCTGGCTCCGTTTGGCCCTTCACAGGTCCTGACAATCAGCAGACCTTCTGATAATGGATCAACCTGGAAGCAGCCAGTTTTATGTTAACAGAAACGAGCATGAACCATTTTGAAATAATATAGGTGATGCACGTGAGCAGTCAGAAACCCCATAATATTAGTAGAGCATGGGTGATTGGTCAGACATTGCTGACAACAAAACACACCAAAACCAACATCAATACAAACAGCTATGGCAGCACAGACAATAAGCGAACAAGTGGAACGTGTCTGTTGTATCTATAATCACCTTATACTCCTCTGTAGGTGTGATCACCTCGCTGTTCCCTTCCGATGAGGCCTTGTACGGGAACAGCGTAGATGCCAGAGAGCAGAGGAAGTCTGCAGACATGGCCACCTGAGTAAACGCTGGCACGTGGTGGTAGAGGAACAACATAAACTGGATGATTGTGATAGGGTAGTCCAGCAGCCACGCGCACTCATCGATTTTGCTTTCCTATTAACAAATGTAAACACAGAACTGAGTGCCAAGAGAACTGCACAAAAAATGACTGGACATTGCACTAGACCAAATTGCATTGTGAAAACATACTGGGTGGATCGAATTACAGAAACACATACAGATGCAGTGTATTAGTGACGGATATTGCGAATGAAAATGGCATAAAAGATACCATGATATAAGACCATGTTTAGAACACAATCTGCAACACAGAGGGTTTGGACCACATTATTTGTAAAACGTCATTTACCTGGTTCAGCATGTTCCTAACCATAGACAGTATCACCATGGCTGCTTCTGGACACACGTCTGCTTTAGCTGCCATCATAGACACATTCTGACTACATGTCACCCCAAAGACGAACTTCCAGATGTTGTCCAGATCAAACTAAACAAGTAAACAAGACATTAACTGGCACTCCCTATCAGAAATCCACAAGCAGAGAACATAATATTCTCATGTATTATAAAACATGAGGGAATATGGTTGAAGAACTGTTCCAGCTAATATAATAACAACTGGCTCTACAGATGATACACCATGATTCCACAATTTCTTCATTATATATGGCAACACATTCTATTTGGCTCAAATGCTCCAGTTACTATTGCCCCCTGAATACAGCAGATATAATACCTGTAGCTCCCCCTTCGTGATGTCTTTAGCAGGCTGCTGCAGGAGAAACGACATGAGGAGGAAGTAGATTTCCGGAGTTCCTGTGTGCTTAGGGAGGAGACTCTGCAGTACGTAGAAGCCAGGTGTCTGACACACCTCCCTGTTTACTTCCCTGTTGTCAGGTCTGTTTCCTCCACCACCAACATTGAAGCCTATAACCCAGAGTTGCAATTTTAGTTTCATAAACATAATGCAATTTAAGAGAATGTGCACAGAGTGTGCACTTAGCAATTAATTACACATTTACAGTATCGTATTATTAAATTAATAAATAAAAACGCTACCTAGCACAACTCCCATCCTATTCTGAAGCACTGCTTCTGTGTCATCGAGCCAACCTCCACAGGCAGTGCCATCACGAAACTTCAGCATTGCTGCAGGGTTGCTAAGCAACAAGATGAGGATGCGTAGGCCCAGGACTACGGTGGAGTGGTGCAGATGAGGCTGCATGCATAACATCACCCAGTCGTGACCCAGGCTGTGAGCCAACTCGTCACACATACTGCAAGAGAATAAATAACGGCCATATGTCAGTTGCAGTGCAATGTGGAATGCTATTTTTGCAAAAAGTGTGAATACAACATGATATAACATTATTGTTATCATCTATATACAACTATATCATCGATGAATTATCAATCAACATACACTACCACAGCATTTATACCAGCCATACATTATAAAAATACATTCTTAATAGTGCTCAACTGAATAGGTATTAAAATGCACTTACTACTGGCAGTTGCCAGGTTGTATGAATGACAGCACAAGTAGCAACAACTTGTTCCTCAATCTAATGGATCTTGCCGACACGTAAGCACCATCACCTAAACAGTAGCATGCCATAAAAACCCTTTTGCTACCAACTGCATCCTTCCAACTTATACAATCAATGTCAATAAATATTAGCTAATAACTAGGCAGGTGTATATATGTACAAGATGCCACAGTATAAGCTCACAAATGCATCCATTTAAAATTTAAAAAAATAGCCTATTTCAACTGTAGTACTGGCATGTGCATTTTTCATATTATTCAGAAACAACAACTGATGAAAATCTTAAACTGGGGGAATCATACTTGATCCATCTGGAGTTGAGGACTCGTCGTTAGTTGCTTCTAGATTTAGGTGACGCTCAATGGCAGAGTGCGGTGGCAGCAACGAGACAACGAACTGTCCAAACCTGTATGTAACAATTCACCATTCAATTCTACAGTTTGAAATACATACCACGTTATCAGAAAATGGATCAAATACGGATTATTCTATAAAGATATTGTACACAAATTTGCCAATGATCCTGACTTCAATATAATCCTGAATCCTGGCCTATATATAATCAGGATACAGTCGAGGTGTATGGCAAAAAGACCTGGCCGAGCAACTTACCTCTGGACGTCATTTACTCTTGGAGTGTTGTGCAGCAAGGTACCCAGCACCATGGCAATGATCTTGATCGTGGCATCTGACAATGATGGATCGCGCAATATGTGCAGCAGCTTCTGCACCATGCCGAGTTCTCTTAACAGCTTCAGGTTTGTTCTGAACTCTCTTGAACTGAACGAGAAAATGTCAGAATGTCAGAAAATGTCAATGCAACCATTACATCAGGAACTGATGCTGGAGTGAACTATGTCTGCACTATTATCTTGCAAGTTATTGTATCCCAATCGTATGTCTAATGATAATGTATGTTGTTTCATACCCAGATTCCGTGACCAGATCATAGAAGTGCTCGTACAAGGACCTTTGCAAATCACATGGCGCATCGTGCCATACCTGTGCAAAACAAAACCATATTATATATATCTGTAAAGCTGCCTCAGCTATTCACAAGGGTGTCTGAGGTCAGAATGGCTGCAGGGCACCTCTCAACCACTTTAGGACAGCATGGGCAGTAGGCAGTATCGTTATTAATTATACACTCAGAATATGAGACGTTTTATGTAATGCCTCACTCTGCTCAATAAATAATAAATACCCCCTCAGTCTGTAGACTGCAGCTTAAAAGTTGAGTAGTGTAACTTCATTAGGTGTTAGGGATGCAATTAAAGTGCTGCCATAAGCAGTGTAAGAAACTGATCAACTGTTTCTAGTGAATATTGAACCACTAAATGTTGCACGTAGTAGAGACAATTTAACTGTAAATATGCAGAGAACATATTGGGATGGTTTTTCTGTTAATCACAATTAGCAGATGGAATACAGTTCTAACACTCCAGTACTTAGTTAAAATTATTCATAACTAATTTTCTTTTCCTAACAAAGTTATTCTTACATTTAAAAATGTTATACTGTATCACAAGTATTATCACAAAGATATTTGAATCAGTTGAGACCATTAGAGTGTTATTACATTATTATTATTATAATGGGAAAAATCTCTATTTCTCAGGACATAAAAACAAGTCTCTATAATAACTATAATCATTATTATCTAAATCTATAATATCACGTAATAGCCACATGATTAACATTGGTAATAGATAAACTGCCTGTTGATATAATATAATCTATAATATAATCTAGCTCCACTCACCTCCAGGTCACATAGCAGGTCCTCAAATGCCGTCACATTTGGAATGGTTGTACTCTCTCTCCCACTGTCTACAGTACCCACCAGGGAGAACGTCAGATGAAGGATGTGGCTGTTCAGAAACTGTCTTTTTTTCTTGAAGAGCATGGCCAGTATCTGTCAAATAACAGCATCCACTAGATAACCAGCCAAAATTAATGATAATTAATGTTAAATTTATGTTGAGCTTTGCAGTTCAACTGTGACAGTAATAAGGGCAAAAGGTAAGAACCCGATGAGAGTAACATGAGTGAACAACTAGTGCTTTATCACAAACTATTCATTCCTAACAAGGCATCAACTATTTATGCCCAAGTCCTGGAAGCTAACCCAGTAGAGCTGCTGGTCTATACCTTACCTGGTAACCCCGCGCTCGATCCATGTCCAATGCTGCAGCCCTGTTACTCCGCACCACACACACAAGGGCCTTGACAGCAGCGTACAACCCCTCCACATCTTTGGCCATCGCAATGAGGCCCAGCAACGCTGACGCACCACCAACATTGTCAAGTGTCTTTGCGACTGGCTTTGGACAGAAGGTGCGCACACCGAGATACCCAATGAGCACCCCACCCAGACTACGGGCAGGACCACTGAGGTGTCCTGCTGAGTTACGCAGCACGTGGATTGGTGTGGCATTTTCATGTGATGACATGCCTAGCTGTATGAAATGAAACATGATATAACCATCCATTATTATGTGTCAGCAGTTTTTTTTGGTATTAAATGGTAATACAGTAATACAATGGTATTAAAACTCACTTAATAAACAGAATGCTTCATAAAAGCGAGCATATGCATAGCTATTTAGATCTGACATTTGCAAAGCATTACATAAAAAATTGAACTTTTGGTTTGCGGCTTAAATAGGAATTTGGAATACCTGTTTGGCTATAGCCTTGCTATCTATTTTGTTGTAGATTTTCCTGATCTTGGCGATTGTCATTGTACATACAGCATACGAATGAAGACCTAGCAGAATCTTCTCCTCGGCAACTAGTGCTCCAATCAATTCATTTTCTACATATAAGAATTGATAACTTATAATAACAACACAGAGTATTGTACTTGACTCAAAATTGTTGTTACATTTCCTATCCTAATTTATTGTATACCCAAATCTTGGGAATGTTAAAAAATATTTTCCTACTTAATCTCTCTTTTATAACCCATAGCAGGATATAGCAGCCCAATTTTTAATAGTAATTTTCAAGCCAGTGTAATTAGTAAAATTGGTAATACTATATTTTACTAGAGATTTGAGGGATAATATAACTTTGGAAATATAATTATTAGTTATTAGTATGAACCTATATATACTAGTACAATAGTATATTAGTACCTTTGGTTTATAGTTTAAGTATAATTATAGTACATAATAACATATAATAGTAGTTAAGTAAATCATATTATATAGTTTAACATGATATACAGCTATATTTAACATAGTCTGACATATATTATTTTGAAATGTTATTGAACTTCAGACTCCAGCTGCTCACCATTTATCACAGGTGCTTGCCAAGAGCCCACATAGTTTGGTCCTTGCTTGTACATTTGTTGAACTGTAGTATTAGACATCACCTCCTCAAGAAGGTGACAAGGTCCCTGTAACAAAACCGACACGTTAAGAAGACGTGATAGCTTTTACTAGAATCTGTAAATAATGTGCTAAGTGTACTTCTTACAGAACACTGTGCTGTGTAAAGGATTGATCACAAATTTAATTCACTTTATACAAATACTCATTTAACACATTTAAGAATAACTAAGGTATATATGCATAAAATAATGGAAACTACAGATTCTTGAGGATTTGAGGTTTAATGTTTGCTGTTTACATTATAAAATAATTTGCTGACACAGTAACATGATGCTCACACCTCTCTACTCAGAGGAAAAGCAAGAAAAAAATGTCTATTCTTTATTAAGTCTCACCTGTTTCCACACAAGCCGGGATAGGCGACGCTGAGTAGGTGTTGTTCCTATAAAGCCGTACACTGACGAGGCTACAGTGAGATTCGCAGCTCCCCCACCAGGGTTTTGACTGATGTAGTGCAGCTAAAGTAATGGTAACGAGGTCCAAAATAATTGTTGATCATTGTACCATCGTAAACATGTGCAGAGAGAAATAATGATACATATATAGAACTCTACTCTTACTCGGAAATTTTGCGTGAACAGTTGTTGAGCAAAGCCGCCAGCTGAATTTAGGTTGCAGTAAAAAAAACTAACACCACTGTTCTACATGAATAATACTTAAAAGAAGAAACTAGGTGAATACATTCTAGTATTGTTAGCATAGATTGTTACCTTTTGCGTGTTTAGGAGTTGTCCATCGACATAGAGTGACACAGAGCTATTCTTCAGCACAGCCCGATTCAACACCAACACAATGTGGTGCCACTGACCCTCCTGGATGAGCTCTGGACACCAAAACCTGACCACATCATCACTTAGTGGTGGATCAGCCAGAGATGCAGAGTCCCCTGGATTTAGAAATGCAAGATGAAGATAAATACTCACTCACTGACATGTCATGGCAGTATCTATGGGAAAAAATGACAACACTAACAGGCTAATGCACAGTGTAGAAACCCCCAGGAACTACAAGCACACTGCTGAACTAACTCACCTTGCTGGGGTAGAACTGTTTCGGCCGTAGACACAAACATTGCACGGTCTCGTGCTGACAGATGTATGTTCAGGCACACCAGATGCTCTTCTCGTCCGAACATGTTACGGATAAGTGTGAGCAGTCTAACAGGATGTGGATCTTGCAGGGGAGAGCTAAACTTGTCCACACACAACCACGACGAGTATGTGAACCCATTCTGAGACGGAAACATGCGGTCCCCTGGATGAAAAGTCGAGGCATCAATTGCAAACATTACCAAATATTACCATAATTCTATAGCACAAGAAATCAACTGTGACCACCCCATCCATTGGCATACTACTCCCATTCAGTAATAGACTATACATACCTATAAAATCTATAAAATCTACAGTTCTTATATGAGAATATAAATTCTTTCAAAGGAGGGAAAATGCACTAATCTTTACATGAAAATTTTTCTTGTAATGTAGGAATGCAAAACGTGTAAAAGAACACAGGTAGAAAGTCTCAGAGAGAGTGAAATATCAAAAAATATATTTTATTACCTAACCCGACTCCACCGATGATGTTACTTTCAGATGCTCCTACAATGCCACCTCCCACTACTGCTGGCACATTCATACTTTGTGGTGCCAAACTAGGGATGAATATGCAGCCGAATCCTTCTGCAGACATGTCCAGTTCAACAAAGCCTGGCATAATGGATGCTCCATGGAGTCTAAAGTCCCGTGGTGTTGTCATGGAAACTAGACACTTTACACGTGTCAGCTTAACAGGGCCTCCACCACCTTTTTGTCGCTCTGAAAAACATGTTAAACTGTGTTAATATATTTATCTATTTAAATCATAAATGGTTACATAAGACAAGTTTGGGGAAAATAGAGATATACAAAAGAGGAACTTTATAAAAAAAAGATCAACTGAAAATAATACTTAACTTATTTAAAATATTTTTCAGTTGGCTCTCAAAGTAAAAACATGGAACCACGTTTTAAGTAAAAACCTAATACCTTCATTATATATAAGCCAGAAAACGTGGACACTGATTGAACCTGTTGTATTTAACATATTTCAACATGCCCATTTAAACAGACTGCTAACATAAACAGAAGATAATGCAATTCCTCAAATAAAAGTCAATTCGGTTGTAGAAATTTGCCCTATATAATGTGTAAATCATGATCACTAAACATGGACTATGACCAGTAAATTCATCTTTTAAAGAAAACGGGCAAACTTACAATTTCAACACAAAGGTCATGGTATATGTTGTCTCTCACATAAATATATCAAACAAACACTTCCTTGTAAATTAATTTTAATGAATATATTTGGTGTAGATTTCAGTGTTACCTATCACTAAGCCCTTACATATCATTGTTTACTATGATCTTACTATTACATATCATAAAATAATCAATGTGTCTACAACTTAATTGTTACTTAAACTGATGTCAAACCATATTAATTCTTTTGGCCGACATTTTGGCATACTAACCGATTTTGACTTATATAGTGCTATGTTCATCAATAGGAAAATAAGGTTCCCAATACAAATTTCATGTTATAGTCAACTGTTCAAGAGCACATCATTTCCATAACCATATTTGGCAATTACTATGGCAATAAACGGCATGCTCACCTCGAGTATCAGGCTGCGTTTTATTGCTCTTCTCGCCTTCACCGATTGGCTGCGAGCCTTCATCCATTGGCACACAGTTTAATGGTGATGCCATGCGTAGAAATGTTCTACAAGATATATCAATTCATACTCTATACTGCTATATATTATTTATTACACAGCATGTGATATTGAAGTGATATTTATGAGAAAAAAAACTTTGTATTGTCGATGAGACTGAATGTATAACAACAACAAAAATGGTAACTCAGAATAATTGCCTATTAGCCTTATGGATTTTTATGTATATATCAATTATATATGAAAATATAACTCAAATACAATTACTGCATTACACACATGATCAATCAACAGATTCACTAGTTTATATATGTGTATGTTTTATACATGTGCAGATTGATTTCCAATTGTTTTAAATGTTAAATTACAACTACTCTATACCTCTGGACACTATGCAACTAACACTAATGCAGCCGTGTGTTGCAGAAATATACCTGAGGTCACGTGGGTCTAGCGACTGTGCGGCTAGCCTTTCAAACATGTACTGCAGTGCAGGATGGAGAAGATGGGACTCATCTGCCAGTGCTACACCACAATGCTCTAGCAGCTCATGTGGCAATCCTACCTCACAAGCTACCTGCTGGTTACGCTCACTGCGGACGAGCGACTTGAGAATTTCGGACACGTACACTTGCAGTGCTAGCATCTCCTGTGAGATAGTATTGAAGAAAGGAAATTCAGTGTGATGATGAATAAATACTTTGAAAGATCTATTCTAATCTCATCTCGTACTTCTATTTTAATACTAGTAAATCAAACTTAACATGGGTACAATTGGAATTAGCTATGTGATGGCTGTCATCCTTCACTACAAGGAAAGTATAGACAATGACTAAAATCAATGAGCTGTTAAATTATATTAATACATCTATTAAATAATCTCACTCAGATAATGGGAAATGTAATGGGTAATAGTTATAAAATTGTACACTTGCCTTTGTACATGTATCATTCCCCACAGCATTCATTAAGCCGAGTATAGACAGTATGACACCAGGATGCACCACTATTGGATCGGGTGGTGTTGGAAGAAGTGGGAGCCCTATCGTGCCTGTACTTGCGCGTTTGTTGCTGGGTGATTCAGCATCCTGAGGTGAGGTTACTTTAAATTCAGATACAGGTCGCCTTCTTGGGCTTGGAGATTGTGAACTTGGGTATACTGATCTGGATAACAAGGTGTGCACTTTAATTTTAAAACAGTAATTGGTTGGAGCAAGTAAGCCAGTCTTGCTAACTAAAAGGTTTCTCCCTCGACTCATTAGAACACATTCTCAGCAAATATATTAATTAATTCCTTGACCTACAATTCTTCAGCCCTTAAAATCCATTTTCCCATGACGGAGTCTTACAGGCACTTTTTGAAAAACATGCAGACATTTGCACCAGGCCCCAGTCCTATAGCTTAAGGAGGACATATATTACATGCACACGATCCTTGACCTTTTCTTCTGACACAGGTCTTTACAGATTGTCCTTGCATGCCTAAAGTGAACACTGCACGTGAAGCATTTACATTCACAAACATGAATGCATTTACTATGTCAACAGTAGTGTCAGACCATACTAGATAAACTAATTAAAATCAGGTTACTTCTGTTAGTTCTTTAAAATGACTTGCTTTCTTAATTCATTGCTTCTTCATATAACTCAACACCAACACCACAGCTATGAATTTGCAATCATGCCATCTACTTTAACAATATTTTCAATCTGTCTACATTTTTTTGCTGCTTTTTTTGTTAATGCTAACGTCTGTTTTAGGGTTTTGTAACACTAGAGCAATTGGGGCAGTACCGATCAAAGCTATCCAGTGCCATATCATAGAGGTATCTGATAATCACACATGCCATCACTAGATCGCAGGGGACCCTGGCCTCCTCTCTGTAAAGCAAATCAAACGGAACGGTGTCAAACGACTATGTTAGCACTTTTCTGAAACATTACTGCTACTGCCACTTACACGGTTGTGAAGAAATAAATAAGAAGTTTCTCCAACAAAAAACAACACATGCATAATTATTATTTTAATATTGTAAGCAATCTATTACTTCTAAGTGTGTTTATGGATAAAAATGACAAACAAACCTACATGGCATCTCTGGCTCCTAAAAATATTCCTTCAAAAACCGACGTGTCATGAGTTTCTTCCTGGAGGAATTCGACACTGTGGGTAGGGATACGACTAGAAAAACATCCAAGTAAGCGCACAGTATCTGTGAGCCGACTGTAGCAGATCTGTAAAGGAAAAAATCTGTGAGGAGAACAGTGTGACGAAATTATTTCTCACAGTACAATATCAACATGGAGTTTTAAGTGATTACATCACCGAAAATAGTAAAAGTAAAAAGAATTATGTCCACTTTTCACAAAATGTAAGTGATTCTGTTCACTTTTTATGGTTAAATTGCTGCATTATACTTCCTATTTTGCTATTCCGTTTGATGTGAACAAACACTCGTGACTCATACATAGCTCATAGCAAGCATTTAATGTCATGATCAAATCGACCAGATATTTTGGATTTTAATTTGTTGGAAAACAATCTTATCAGGTCAGAATTTGAGGATGCATTTAGTCCTGTTAGTACTTACTTTCCATGTAAACAAAATTGCCCCAATTTTTTTTTTACAAGTATACACCATAGAAAATTCGTGCCGTAGTCAATTTAAGAAATTAACCAACTCTTCTGTTACCTAATGACGAACATGTTCCCTTAAAATAACATATGGACTCATTAATTCAACAAACCTCTGTTGCAAAAAATTTCGCGTTGGCCGGCTCAAACCGCATAGCCACTGTCAGTGTGTTGAACACTGTCTTCAGCAACCCCAATACCTCCTTGCGGTCCGCTGCAAATGTGCAAAATAACAAGGATCTTATAGGTACAGTTCACGTAATCATGTAATTTATTACAATTATTTGTTAACTGTTTCTTGGTAATATGTGAGGACAAAAGAAGGTATAAATAAATTATCTATCAGAAATGAAACAAATTTCTCATTTTCATAGTGAATGTGTCAAAATCTGTGAGAGCAGGGACATGTCATATTAAGGTTTGTGTAATGAGAGTGAGACATTCTCCCTTGACCATTGCTACTCTTTGCCCCATGTTGCTAATCTGCAATGTAGCGGGTGTAAAATACAAACCATGTTCCCAAGGAGACTTTGGTGGTGTAGCTAGGCAACCTTCCATAGATATGAGCACAGACATGACGTAGACAAACCCGCCAACTTTTCTGAACACAGTTCTTGTCCTGTGGCTCTCGCGTAACACTGTCAGCAGTGACTGAAAGGAACCACAATGATAATGTAAAACAATAATTAGGAAGGCATTAGTTTGAAAGGAGCACAGAACTATGTCACTATGAGTCACAACAATATTCATATTTCAGCATATTTCATATTCCTCATATAGCCTGTATATAGAATATAAAATATTTCTAATAATGTTGTACACAAAATTATACAAATATGCACACCGCGCCATTAGAACATGTAGAAACGTAGATATCTCTACCTCAGTTGCTTACAGTGGCTTGAGTGCTGCCATGATTGCAATGTAATAATCGTGAACCACAAGTGTTGAAGACAAACTGGTAAAAACTGGTAAAAACTGGTAAAAACTGGTATTCACTGTATAAATATATTCACATGATTACCCTGAGAACGTGGTTTTTGAGATCCAAACACATCTGTGGTGCAGTGTGCATAAGGCCCAGTAGCGTTCCCATATCATCGTCGCCACCGGATGACATCACCAGCTGCTGTACAATTCCCAGGGACTGCTGCCGGCATTCAACATAAGGAACCATGTTGTGTGCACATCGTGCTCCACCGCACTCACGGAAAACACCTGAAGTGAAGAAAGAACCTTGAGTGCAAAAAATTGAGAACATAGATATTAGAAGTTCAGAACATTAAGTAGATTTCCCATTATTGTATCCAGGGATGAGATTGGATAATTAAATTTTCAGCTGAAATTTAAATTAGCAAACAGAGGAGCGAGCAATGCATGACCGTAAGGGCATGCTCCCCCGGAATTTTTTAAAAAGAATGGTGCAATTTGGTGCATTCTAAGCTATTCTGAACACATTATAGGGAGACTCTTGAATCACCTTTCAAGTTGTCAAAGGATACAAACGAACTATTGAATACGGAAAGCAGAGCGGCTGAAAATAGGGCAAGTTTTTTTATTAAATGTTAGACATAATGATATTTTTCGGTTCCACCCGTCGCTCGTGCATTGAGTTAACTCAGACATAAGCTAGCCTTGCTGCGACGAGATTTGAATGAAAAAACAACAAATGCGAGTGAACAATCAGTGCATAGTCATTGCACAAGAACATGCACGCAGCAACATGTAAACCCGGCCCCCAGGCCAGGCATGGGCGTTACGTGATCAGACTACCTCAAATGTTTGCCCTTCTACTTGCAGCCTGTGAACGAGGATTTTCTTTTCTGGACGCAAAAAAACAGATAACACTGTATACTTCGCTGTCAGTCTACTGTCTACACTCTACAAAGTCTACCAGTCAGGTGCTGTTTGAGGGTATATATTTAAATTGTTACATTGTACCCCCTCTTTGTTTTCCCAATATTTCTCAACGAAGTTTTAGCACGTTTCACAAAATGACCCCTGGGACTGTCAAATCCGCGGATTTCCGCGGATCCGCGTAAGAATCTCATCCCTATGTATCACAAAAGTGAAGGGAAACTTTTTTTATTTCAATTAATAATTGATTGGTTTCATGCTGTTCAGAACTATGATGGTTACTATACATAGAAAAAGAACATTTGTATTATTCTAATTCTTGTAACTAACAGTAATAAGGTTATGCTTAATATGTACACCATGGCACATGTATTACTAACAGCTCAAAGCTATTGCCATGTTTTCTCTCAGAAATAATGGCTTTAATAGAAATAGGTGATTAAAGAAAGTGATTGTCCACATCTTGACACAAAAACTTTCTCAAAGCTCAAAGTGACAAAGAATATTTAATATGTTTTACTGGCATTGCTTGAGTTGTTGCTGAGAAGAAGAGTAAGAGCATCCATCACAAGAAATCCTAGAGATTTAAGGTCCTCTGGGATGTCTGTAACTGAAAACAATAGAATAGTTACTGATTAACACAACAATTTTTTTAATTACGTCAACTTATACCAATGTCATATAATATATATATATATATTGCTATATTGCTTATAAATTTATAGAACATAAGGTAATGTAATATATATATATACACACACACACACACACACACACATGCGCGCGTGCGCGTGCGCGTGCCACACACACACACACACACACACACGCATACTAATTATGAATTACGCATTTATATATCCAAATGTCTTGCTGACCTGATGAAGAGCATGGAATCTCGAAAAGCTTGTAATAAATTTAAACACCTATTCCAACTTTCTCTATAATTTGACTTTGTTTATATACCTTGAAGATCAATATTATCCTCGACACATTGTTTTGCTCTGTCCACAAAATTTCATGTTTACTTCAGTAACTAGGCAATAAGTGTATAAATAATATATATATATATATATATATCAGCGAGTAGATAATAGGGAGGAGTGTGACATCAATCAAACAAGAGAAATTCGTCATTTACTAGCCTTATAATACCTACGCATTTACTACCACGTAACTCATCCAACTTGAGGCCTAAATCGGACACAAGTACATTCGCATAGCATCGTGCGAAATCGTTCCTCGTATTACACCCGCAATCCGGCAGATACAGACTAAAACGTACGAACACGCCGATTCCTCCATTCTTTGGCCATCAATCCAAATCCATTGCGCCCGCCTCTAATCAAAACAAAAGCAGCTACCTAACCACAGCGTGCTAAACCGCGGGCAATGTGGCTCGCTGGGAGATTTGAAGCCGGATTTAGCTGCTGCTGATTGCGGTTGGCGTGCGTGCGTGAAGGCATGCCAGCTGTGTGCAGAGGTGGCCTGTGTAGCTGTGTACCGGGTCAAAGGTTATCTCGCCGAGTGTTGATGCCTAATCTCCCAGCGAGCCACATGCCTCGCCGAGTTAGCAATAGCGCGTTAGGTAGCTGCCTTCTGTTTGAATTAGAGGCGCGCAATGGATTTGGATTGATGGCCAAAGAATGGAGAATCGTGTCGTACGTTTTAGTCTGTATCTCCGGATTGCGGGTGTATACGAGGAAACGATTTCGCACGATGCTAGGCGAATGTACTGTGTCCGATTTGAGCTCAAGTTGGATGAGTTACGCGTAGTAAATCGTATGTATTATAAGGCTAGTAATTTCCCTTGTTTATTGATGTCACACTCCTTCCCTATTATCTACTCCTGATATATATATATATATATACATTTTATTGTGAGGTTAGAAAAATTAGATGAGCTATCACTAAATGATTAAATATAAACATAACTATTGATCTATGACAGTTTTCATTTTACTGAACGAAAATGAAGACTTGAATCATTGACTGAAATGAAATCATTTGGTTGGTAAGGCGAGGACATATAAGGGCTGCATTGATATGAGATGAAGCAAACCACACACGGCAGCAGAAGAGGCAGCAGACAAGTAAACAAACAAGCATTAACACAGCTCATAGTAAAATGAACAGTGCTGTGCACATGTACCTTGTTTAGGTCTATCTAGATCAGCATCATGCAGTGGTAAAGCAAGCATGTTGGCACTAATGTCGGAACATGCATCAGCTACACATGCAGATGCAGCCATGCCCCTGTCTATGATGCACTCTTCAGGAGCCCTTGGCCAGTCAATCACCTCATCCTCCTCAACTAGCAACCAGGATTTCGAAACATGTTGCATAAACGAGTACAAAATAATCAATGATCTGCGTCATTAGGACAAAGTATTAAAATAATAAATAAACAAACAATAAACTCCAAAAAGTATATAATTAACTGTCAATATAGTGGTCATTATTCTTTATATAGCTTGCCAACACACAGGTGCCATGATGTACTCTTGAGGTCATGCCATTCCACATGGTGACCTGGTTTAAAGTTATTAGTTCATTTTCAGTTGAAATTTGAATGAATGTTTTACCAAACACACTGTTGGGTATATGGTGAGCACAATCAAATCTTTTAGCTGATCCAAATAGTTTTCAAGATATGTCTCATTACTAATTGTACAAGTTCTATCGTTGGCTGGTTTGCACTTGATCTCGCAACAAGTACTCCTATCATACTCTATTGGATACTATACCGAAATGAATATCTTATTTAAAACGGTTGGATAAGCATTTGGACTACAGAGCAGAACCAAAACCAGCTGAATCAGATGAAGATTATTTATCTCTGTCCTAGAAACCTCATTGCACCACATTATCTCAAACTATATTGAAAATCCTACCTACTGAAATTTGAGTCTCTTGTGTATTTACTATGATATTGAGTCATAGGATAATCCAACGTATGTGTTTAAAAACGTTCATTACATATTATATTATATTATACATCATAAAATCCCAATAGAAACAAAATTATAATTTTTTTTTCTCCAAAATACATAAATTTAAAAAGAAAATTATCCAGTTATATAAACGAAGGCCCTATAAACATAGGTTCTCATATGTTATTATGTTATTAGTGCTATACTTTATAGGTATTAACACTAACAATGAAATTTGGGAAGCTATAGTAAAGAATGTAATTGCCCTATCTGCCTGCTGTTTGACAGTCAGATCTAGCAAATCAGTACTGTGGTACCACATTATAACAAGAGCCGCAGAGCGTCTGGGCTCATCTGAGGTCTGTTGCTACGGTAATAAACGTAACATTTAAGTCGTGCATAGTGACACCTTT